ACAAGCAAACAAGTTGATGGGAGTAATTAGGTGACGCAATTAGTTTAAACTGACGATTTTTGGAGTGCCATTAAAGTAGCGAATCTTTAAATTAGATTCTCCCTTACCCAAACGAACATTTACTTGACCCTTAAGTTGTTTACATACTTCTTGTTGCCTTGGTATCCTATCAAACGATACCTTAATATTCTTAAACTGCGAATCATCTATAAGGTTGATCTCAAACAAAACCACACGTTGAGTAAAATTTATTTTCCCTAAAACTTGCCTAAAGCTCTTATGTTGCCATTTTCGGGCGTAAATCCTACGTTTTTATGGTCTATTTTAGAGCCTATTTTTGTTTTTTTAAGCCTAAAATTCGTTCTTTAACCGTAAGTGATGAATGGATCTTCGTCAACAAGGAATTCTAGCACCCCAGATATCGAAGCATCTATTTTCGACAGCACTTAAGAATCAAGAATTCGGTTATCATTATCTACTACGTTAAGGTGCTTTATATCTAAGAAATTGATAAAATAAACCAAGTGATTTGTTCTCTGTGAAGAAAAATTAATGTCAGTATGTCATATACATACGAGGTAAGCGCCAAATGTTCTCGGCCTAACCAAGAAAGAGAGATGAAGCAAAAAAAAAAGTTGTACAAATTTCCCGATGAGCAATCGCAAATATCAGGCCGAGAATATTTGGCGCTTACCTCGTATAATCAGAAATATTGAAATCTCCTATTACTAAAATACTAAAATACTAGTAAATACAAGAAAATCAAAAAAACTGAAAGCTTCGAAACGCATCTGATAAAAATTTGCTGAATGGCAGGTGAACTCTACAGTATAAAAATGTAAGAAATATGAAATGTTGCATAAAAAGTAGGTCCTTTTTAAACTTTTTAACAACTCGTATATAAATCATCAGGCATTCCAGGTGGCATGATTTGAACTAATATCAGCTTCACCATTTTTGATTTCAGTAATACAGTTAATCCACTGTTAATGATCTATGTTTCACTCACCAACCTAATGAAGTAGCTCATCACCTTCATCATTCACCTGGGGCAAGATTTGTTATTTCTGCAATATTTGGAGCTATGACGATAGCCCTTACAAGTGATGTAACCTACTTAAAGGATTTCAAATAAATGCTACTTTATTGTTACCTCGCGAAGTGGGTTTCAACCCGAGCCCAATAAAACTACGTTTACGACAAATGATATTATTAAAGATATTACATACGATAAGCCAATCACTGTTAAAATATGCGGAAGGGCACCTCTTCTCTCCTCAGCGTAGGCGGCGGAGGCTCCTGACTCTTCCTTCGGTTCTCAGGTCCCGTCTCTTCCCGAAAATCTTCCTTGAAAAGCCCCTGAACTTGATTGTCTTCCTCCCGAGCTCCTCACTCGCTCCCGCGCCGCTATCTCCTCTCTTCTTATCTCTCTTTTTCTCCCAGTTTTTTCCCGCAGCTCACACCAACACTACGCGTGAAAGATGCGCCACCACTTCGAATGCAAATCAATTCAAAATTAAATAAAAATCCGTTACACACCCCCCTATGATAACAAAAAAATTTAAATTAAACATAATTAAAATTTTTTCCATAAGATGTATCCCACCTAAGAAAAAGGAAAGAAATTGTAAATAAAAAAAGATTCCAGTCACACTTCAGAATTTTCTTAGGAGTAAACAACAAAAGAATTTTGAGAGCCATTTTGGTGAAACAGGAAAAGTCTCTTTGAGTAGGAATTCGAATCCAAGAATTTGCAGATTCAGAGAGTCACAAACAAAAACATCCTCCATCGGGAGAATATGAAACCTCTGACTGCTAATCGACGAAGGGCTAAAGTTAAATGTTAAAATCGAGAATAAAATGTCAAAATCTGGAAGTAAACGTCAGAATCGAGAAAAAATTGTCAAAATCAGGGTTTTATTGTGTGCACACGTCGTAATTGGGAAAAAAAATCAAATTGTCCTGCGTCGGAAAAAAAACCTACTCATCCACTCACCACATTCATACCACATACACGAGATCACTCATACGTCATATTCTCTCTCTCAGGCACATAGACGTAAAAAAAATCATTCGTCGGTACTACTGTCTCCACGATCATCACCCCGAAACGGCTTAAGATCTTTAACGTGCCAGTTTCCTAGGTTTTGATGACTCTCAGCCTCCGCTAATCTATATACGAGACGAGAGATAACCTTGGTGACGATACATGGAACATATTTTGGAGCCAGTTTACTGGAAAAGTGCTTTGATGCGTCTGAAAGTACATAATTGCGTTTCCACACCCGGTCACCTACTTGATAGGAATCAGCAGGGCGGCGTCGTAAATTATACGTGTGAGAATTTCTTTTATACGCGGCCGTTAGTTTTTGACGCACTGTCTTGTAGATTTCAGACAAGCCCTCCAAATTTTCAAAATATTGGCTCCGGTCAGGGTTCGTTAAATCAACTTTCGATGAGTTGCTGTTCTTGTCATAAAAATCTCCTGAAATTGGTACGTACCGACCAAAATTTATATACGTAGGAGATAATCCGGTGGCTTCATGAATGGCCGTTCGAAGCGCAAACCCAATTTTTGGTAAATGGACGTCCCAATACCGATGATTATTATCCTTAATGTAGGAACGAATAGCAGCCCCGGCTACTCTGTTTACTCGTTCTACGCTGTTTGTTTGGGGATGGTATTTTGCGTTATACCAAATCTTACATTTGTACAAATCCGCTAGCTTCTGAAAATCACGCGAAACAAATTGAGTACCATTGTCGCAGGTGATGATTTGAGGGACACCAAACATCAAAAACACGTTTTCTTCTACAAATTTGATCATTGTCTTGGAATTTGCCTTACGAAGAGGATTTCAACCCGAGCCCAATAAAACTACGTTTACGACAAATGATATTATTAAAGATATTACATACGATAAGCCAATCACTGTTAAAATATGCGGAAGGGCACCTCTTCTCTCCTCAGCGTAGGCGGCGGAGGCTCCTGACTCTTCCTTTGGTTCTCAGGTCCCGTCTCTTCCCGAAAATCTTCCTTGAAAAGCCCCTGAACTTGATTGTCTTCCTCCCGAGCTCCTCACTCGCTCCCGCCCCGCTATCTCCTCTCTTCTTATCTCTCTTTTTCTCCCAGTTTTTTCCCGCAGCTCACACCAACACTACGCGTGATAGATGCGCCACCACTTCGAATGCAAATCAATTCAAAATTAAATAAAAATCCGTTACAGTGAAATAACGCAAAATTTCAACTGCGTCATAGACGTTACAGTAATCATATTCAATACGGCATAATATAAGTATGAACATTATCAACGGGAGCAATATGAAGAATGTCACGCAGACATTTATTTGATTTGAATCACCTCAAAACAGATGACTAAAATTATTCGTAAGCCTCAATAGAATAAATTATTCTGAATGTTATTATTATAATTCTTAACTTATTATTTTATTGCCAAAAAGACGAGCGTATTCTCACATTTTCGAGAAAAGGGACGAGTGGTTCTTAATATGATCAATAATAAATTGACTGATTCATTCATTTTTTGGCTTCACCCTGTTTAAGCAAATCTAAAAAATATTAATGCAGTGATAAATCACAAGTGTAGACTCATTATATTTTGCACCTTTAAGATAGGATTTTTTCAGCAATATTTTGAGTTGACGTCATCAGTTTTTTAAAGGGGACGAGCAAATACATTTTGACCAAAAATTTACCATGCTTGTGATAACTGTAAAACATGTAAAACGACAAAGTTCGAAGTGACCTTGCCCTTATCAGCTGGAACTCAGCATTCAATTCACTCAACACTTCTCAAATGTGGGAGTTATTTGAAACAAAACAATCCAGCTCCGTAAAAAAACATACTTCTATTACAAAAATTAAAGTCCTCCCTCAGAAACCATGGATAAATCATCATTTACTCAAGTTAATCAAACAGAAAAAGCGTATTTGGGAAGCATATATAAGAAGTCCATCGGAAAACAAATATCTCGATCACTGAAGATTTTCGAACCACGTCGTTTCAGAGCTGAAAAAAGCAAGAAAAATCTTCGAAGACAATTTAGCAAAATCAGATAAGGTGCTACCCCCGTGGTGATGGTTACCTGGGTGTCATCAATCGGTTCCATTCAGATAAGTTTCCAGTAACTACTAATGTTTCAATGACAGGTCTCTGGTTGTAGGTAGTACCGAATCGTTACTCCCAGCACACTTTCCACGGAGTTGAAGATGATACCAATTACAAGCTCAATCCAAGTAGCGAATGACTCCAGTGATCAAAATTGACGAATATTTCATGTTCCAAACTCGATAGTTAAAACCTAGGAAGTCGTGTTTTATTGACACGTTTATTTTAAGAGATCTCATGTGACTTTTACTTAAATATGAAATTTTTACTCACCTAGGTCTCATAGGTTTATTAAAATCTTCTTTAATTGTTTAAAATGGCTTGAAATCTTGATTTTTATTTTACGTTTCTGACAACCACCATTTTGTCCAAAATCTTATCAGCAAAAAAACCCTTTTTTGTTCGCCTGACGTTGTATCGCTGTAAAAACTCCCATGCCGAGGCGCACAATTTGAAACGCTCAAATCACCTACTCGTCCTTACTAAAGGAAGTTTAAATTATAGTAACGGGACCGTTACACACCCCTCTTTCCTATATAAAAATAAAAATGTTTCATTTTTATTTTTTCTTTTTAATTTCCCATCACTAGAAGAAATTGACTTAATCACTACCCACTTATTACCTACTACTTATAATACAAAATAGAAGCCCTAAATCAAGAAAAGTTCCATCCGAGAATTATGGTACTCCTGGAGCTGTAAGTTAAATCCAGGAACTCTTGAAAGTTTGGAAGTCTATAAGTCTGGGAGTCTATAAATCGGGGAGTCTCGAGACTAAATTCAAATCCGGGTAATAATCACGAACATTCACCTATTCACTCTGCCATTCACGAGATCACTCATAACTAAAACGTTTATCCACTTCATTCATCACACGGGATTAGCCGGTTGATTGTAAGTTCGCTTGAGATCTTTTACATGCCATTTTCCCAGATCGTTACCATTCATGTCTTCTAGTTTATACACCAGTGGGGATATGACCTCAGCAACCTTACACTTGACATATTTTGGCTCTAGTTTCGCCATCAATTGTTTGGACGCGTCCGATAAAACATAGTTCTTCTTCCATAATATTTCTCCTTTTTGGTAACAATCAGTCTCTCTTTTGCGGGTGTTATAAGAGTGACAATTCTTGCGATACGCTTCGTCGAGCTTTTGCTGAATTTCTTTCTGCAGATCTGAGAGTTTATCGATGTTATTTGCGTATTGATCTCGCTGATATGGATTTAAATTAAATTCATTTAATTTTGAAAGCTTTCCATAAATTTCGCCGTTAAGTGGTACGTGCCGTCCAAAGTTTAAAAAATTTGGTGTATATCCTGTAACTTCATGAACTGATGATCGTAAAGCGAAGCCAATTTGCGAGATATTTTGGGTCCATTTCTTGTGGTTTTGTTTCTGTAGATATGAGCGAATAGCGGCGCCAACCACTCGGTTGACACGTTCCACAGGATTAACTTGGGCATGATATTTACAGTTGTACCATAATTTAGACCCATAACGCGCAGCCAGATTTTGAAATAGAGAGCTCTTAAACTGGGTTCCGTTGTCACAGATTATTATCTGGGGACTACCGAAATATAAGATGACTCGTTCTTCCACAAATTTAGCGATGCTCTTTGCTGTCGCTTGTCGTAGTGGCTCTAGGATAACAAATTTCGAAAACCAATCCGCGACGACTAGTAGGTACACATGACCAGTTGACGATCGGGGAAAAGGCCCCATCAAGTCGGCGGAAATGATCTGAAAAGGATAACTGGCTTGCTTAGGTTTACCCATGAAGCCTGGACGAGCGTTAGTGGGAGTTTTCTGCGCCAAGCACACTTCGCAGCTCCTCACATATTTTTTAACGTCGTATCTCATTCTCGGCCAGTAGTATCGCTCCTGAATCCGATGCAGAGTCTTGTAAATGCCTAGGTGTGCCGAAGATGGATCGTCATGGCATTCCTTCATTACCGCTTGTCGATAGCATTTTGGTATAAACAGCTTCCATTCTGGACCAGTTGCCCCTGGACTCACAGCTGAAAAATAACGATATAGGAGTCCATTATGTACTGACCATTTCGTCGATTCTGGATCTTTCGTCACCTCATCAGATATTTTCTTAAAGAGAGGGTCCTCCAAACATTTTTTAATATCGAGTTGTAACAAGCTCACCTCGTGTACCAACGGTGCTCTGGAGAGGGCATCTGGAACCGTATTTAAACTCCCTTTACGGTGCTCTATCTTCATATCGTACTGCTGGATCTTCATGGCCCATCTAGCGAGTCTGCCACAGGGGTCGCGTAAACGGTTCAGCCAAAGAAGGCTATAGTGATCTGTTATCACCCGAAACTTTACTCCTTCGATGTAAGATCTAAACTTTTCTATACCATACAGAACCGCCAAACATTCTTTCTCTGTAACCGTGTACTTCCTTTCTTGGGGTATAAGAGTACGGCTGGCAAATGCCACCGGGACCTCTCGTCCTTCATCATCCTCTTGGACTAAGACAGAACCTAACCCTACTTCTGAGGCATCACTTTGAATGCAGAAAGTTTTATCAAAATTTGGCGTCGCCAAAACCGGGGCAGCTACTAGAGCTTCTTTTATTCTATGGAAACTTTCCTTTGCTTCTTTTGTGCACGAAATTGTCTGATGTTTACGTTTACCCTTTATCATAGCTGTTATAGGAGCTGTCATTGTGGCAAAGTTTGCTAGAAACCGGCGATACCAACCACAGACACCGATGAATCGTTTAACTTGCGTCACTGTTTGCGGTAGGGGGTAATTCAACATAGCCGCCACTTTATCTGGGTCCGTCCTTAGTCCTTGCCTATCGATAACGAATCCCAGGTATTTAAGAGACGGTTTGCAAAATTCACACTTTTCAATGTTGATGGTTAAATTGGCCTCTCTAAATTTCTCATATATTTGCTCCAGCACTTCTAAATGTTTCGAGAACGTAGGGGTCGCCACTATGACGTCATCTAAAAAAGTGAAGACGTAGGGCTCGAAGGCGGGTCCAAGGACAGAATCCATCAGACGTTGTTGCGTTTGTGCCGCGTTGTTAAGCCCAAATGGCAACACGTTGAATTCAAACAGTCCTCTGCCTGGTACTACAAAAGCAGTTTTCTCGCAGGAATCTTTCTCTAAGGGGATTTGCCAGAAGGCAGCTTTAAGGTCGATACTTGATAAAAATTGAGCACTATTCAGTTTATTTAATATTTGGTCTACCAGGGGAAGAGGGTATGCATCCTTCTTTGTCAGTGAGTTCAACTTCCTTCCATCAAAGCAAAAGCGCATCTCTCCGTTAGATTTCTTAACTAGCAACACCGGGGAAGCCCAAGGAGATGTTGATGGTTGCACCACTCCCAGTTTCAGCATTTTATCTAATTCGGCGTTAAGGTGTGCTAACATGTAAGGTGACATGTTGTAATGTCGCTGCTTGATCGGCTCAGCGTCTCCTGTATTAATCTTGTGCTCAACCTTGTTTGTTCTGCCGAGTTTTTTGCCAGTTTCCCAAGACAGAGTTTTGAACTTATCTTTAACAGCAGCCAACTGTTGCTCCTGCTCCTCGTCCAGTTCTTCTTCCGAGTGAATTCGATTAAGTACACTAACTTCTACAGGTTTTCTCGACCTACATTCTATGGCCTTATTTCCTACAAAAAATTGATCGATGCCAAAATCAATCCTCAACTTAAACTGTTTGCAAAAATCACTTCCCAAAATAACAGTATGACAGATTGAAGGTACCAACAAGAATCTAACAACTTTACAATTGTCTTCTATTTGTACTGGCAGGTCTACGTATCCGGTAATTTTTTGACGTCGTCCCTCAGCTGTTCCAATGTCTGGTATTGGAGTCTCATAAACATGCACGCTAGATGATTCAACCAGATGCATTCCTCTCTCTCCAATTACTGAATGACTAGCTCCACTATCGAGAAGAGCAGATACCTTAATACCAAAGATGTCAATTGACACATAAGGCCTGTTATCTCCTACTCTACTGACTAAAAGAGCTTTAATCTGACTAGAATCTAATTTATGACTAGATGTTGAAAAATCACAATGTTGCGACATGTGCTGCTTCTCAAAATTTTTACCAATAAAAGAACTATCACGTACTTGTGAAATTTTCTGACTAGGAGTTCGATTATTTACATGCACAGCCTTCTTTTGCCGAATTCCGGACAGGGGTGGCCATCTTCTACCACTTCCCTGTCCCTTAGCTAGTTTTTTGAGCAGTTAGGACAGTTCGGGCGGATAACACCCGGTTTTCCACATCCTATGCAAACAGGACCTTTTCGAGTTATTTTCTGGGGACAATCTCTTATGAAATGACCAAGTTTCTTACACCCGAAGCATGTTATGTCACCGATCTGAGGTGTGTGATACGATCGACGATACCTTCTGTCTTCGTTGCGTGACGTCGACGGCTGCTCTTGTCCAACGTTTTCAGTTCCTGTATAAGCGAGATCCGGTTCTAAAAGAGCGATACTTCTCCTAGGTGGTGGTTGGAATTTTTGTTGGCACTCGAAGGCTCCTTCTAGTTTTCTGCACACTTCCGTCAATTTACTAACCGACCGCGCATCAGTCAGTGCTATCTGTGTTTGAAAATTAGGCCGCAAATTTCTCTTAATTGTACGTAGCTGGACTTTTTCTGTTGGTCGTTCTGAAAGTCTGCTAAACAAATTCAACATAGCAGCTACATAGAACGTAACGCGTTCCTGTTGTCTTTGTGTACGATTTCGAATTTCGCGCCAAAGTTCTTCATCGTAGTCTGGTGGTAAGAAATCGCGCCTAAGTGCTTTGACCAATGCATCCCAAGTGCGTACCGATGATTTCACTGAGCGGAACCAGACCAATGCTTGCCCCTGAAACAAATCAAACGCTGATCGGAACAATTCTTCTTTGGTTGTATGACGTGCTATACGAATCTCTTCAATTCTCTGGATGAATGAATTAACAGCTTTCCCTTCAAAGGTTATACCCCACTTGTGGACGGGCGTTAACTTCGCTACAGCAGCAGCTTGATTAACTTGTCCTACTTCAGAGACGTCTTCGCTTTCATTCTGGGCTCGTTCCAGTATCTCCAACCGCGTTTCATCTAAGGCACCCACTATAAGTAATTGATCTTCCTTATATTCTCTGATTTTGCCATCCGGGTCGGTCGTTGTCACGAATCTGCTCAACCTCCCCATCACATGATTTATCGTTGTTACTACCCTCTTGTTCATATCGGCTCTAGTACCATCAAAGTCGGCTAAAAGGTTCTGAATTTCATTTATAGAAGCATCCACCTCAGTCTTCTCATCCTCAAATTTAAATTCTGGAGTTACATAAGTCATCTCAGGCCTCATTAAATCTTCTCGCAACCGCCTACGCAAAGTCTTACGTTTAACACCAATATCAACTCTCTCTGATTTAACTCCTCTGATACGCAACTCGTAATTCAACTCAGAGAGTTTCAAATAATTGGGTTCAATCTCGAAAAACGCCACCTCAGACCACACTAATAAATACCTGCTATTCTGTACCTTTATAATCCCAATACTATACTCTCCAGTTCTCCACTTCAAGAAATAATCATACCAAAAGTGACTCAAATTTCTATACTGTTAAATAAAATAGGTACTGTTAAAGTGAATTCTCTTCCACTCAATTGCCTAGACAAAAATTAAAGCATTAATGAAACCAAAGGCCCCACGTTGGGCGCCATTTTTGTGTGACTTTCCGGCCTTAAATGTTCTTTGTTTGTTTGCAGGGCGTGGGTTTGTGTAGGCAATGAGTGAAATAATTTCCCAAAAACTATATTAACATAATAATATGCATATGCAACACACAATACATAAAGGGCGCCAGTCGTTTTTTTTTTTATTTGAAAAACGACAAAAACAAACATTGAATAGGTGTTTTGAGCTTTTCTTTCTTTTACATAACACACTGAAATTATTTGTGGCTCAGCACACTAGTCTTTACAACACTATAAAGTTAAACAAGTTAAGATTGATATCTAGACAAAATGAGCTTACAATTACAATTACTCGACCACCTGAAGCTATACTGATAAGATTTATTATACTGATCTTTGACTGATATACTTTTCTTGCTATAACATTGAAATTCAAAGAAATATCTATTATGGAGCTTGGAACTTTCTTTTTTTTTCCCTTCGCGGAAAGTGAGCATTCGTGTACTTGAGCGTAATGACAAGTACCACCTAGAGCTGCCGCAAGACAACAAAAACTCTCCCCAAATGGGTGAGATTGGCCGCTAGACCCCCAAAGAACCACTCATAATATCACTAGACATATGGTAAGCCCCTTTACAATACGTTAATAACAATATCTAAATCATTAACTCTCTCTGACCTAGCCTGTTTTTAACCTAAAAATACCTATGTTTACAAGGAATTTTCCTTATGATATTGTGCGGGCAACAAGCAACCTAGAAGGTGTTCACCATGGGGTTGTGGCCTCCAGTTCTAAGATATTTAGTTATTGGAACCCTGCTACTTGCGCTGGTGGTCGCTACTTCCACAGATAAGGTGCTACCCCCGTGGTGATGGTTACCTGGGTGTCATCAATCGGTTCCATTCAGATAAGTCTCCAGTAACTACTAATGTTTCAATGACAGGTCTCTGGTTGTAGGTAGTACCGAATCCTTACTGCCAGCACACTTTCCAGTGATCAAAATTGACGAATATTTCATGTTCCAAACTCGATAGTTAAAACCTAGGAAGTGATGTTTTATTGACATGTTTATTTTAAGAGATCTCATGTGACTTTTACTTAAATATGAAATTTTGACTCACCTAGGTCTCATAGGTTTATTAAAATCTTCTTTAATTGTTTAAAATGGCTTGAAGTCTTGATTTTTATTTTACGTTTCTGACAACCACCATGTTGTCCAAAATCTTATCAGCAAAAAAACCCTTTTTTGTTCGCCTGACGTTGTATCGCTATAAAAACTCACATGCCGAGGCGCACAGTTTGAAACGCTCAAATCACCTACTCGTCCTTACTAAAGGAAGTTTAAATTATAGTAACGGGACCGTTACAACGTCAGCTCAAAAGTTTGCGAATATGTCTTGTACAAAATATGATCAGTCTGTACTTGTGATTTATCATTCCATTCATATTTTTTAGATTTGGGTGACGCAAAAAATTAATGAATGCGTGAATGTTTTTATAGATATTAATAATACTAGTGCGTTGTTATGCAACGAGACGAAGTCGAGTTGCTTAAGCACTCGAGATATTTTAACGGTTTTCGCAAGAAAGTTATTCAATATTTTTTTTGTTGGTCAACTATGTTGGTAAAGTTGCTATGGAATTGAAAAACAAAAAAATTGTTTACAAACAAAAATGGAAAATCCGTTTGATCTTCCTGAAAATATTTGAGAAAAAGGAAGATTATTACGAGAAAAACTGTTGCCCGTGAAGCCCAAAGAGTGTTACGAAAGAGTGTATTTAAGTTTCTGTCATTGGCGAGAGAAAAATAAAGTTTTCTTGACAACAGAAGATGTTATTCTTGCCTATTTACATGAAAAGGTAGGTAAACCTGCAACTCTCTGTTCATGTTACTAATTTCCTTTTGTTTCTAGCAAGAAACGTTATCTCCTGCGGCACTTTGGCCACATTATTCAATGTTAAAATCAACTATAAAAGTAAAAGAAAATCTGTGTATTGAAAAGTTTGGTAGTGTAATTGCTTATCTAAAACAGATAAATGTAGTGAAAAAATCGAGAACAAATTAAAAAATTCGTGGTAGAAGCCCCAGATGAAAAATATTTATTTGTAAAGGTAAGTTGTTGGTTGTTTTATTAAAATAAACATTCTTTAATGGATTTTCGGCATTGCTGGGGCGTGTAGGTGCAAAGAATTATGTGATCTCTCGGTCAACGATGTCAAAAATACTGGTGAAGTTCTGATTGTAACATTTCGAGATACCAAGACCCTTGGAGACAGAAATTTACTATCATTGAAGAAGGTTTTTCAGTTAACACTGTAGACGTATACCGAAAATACTCATCTTAACGCCCCAAAAATACACCTAACAATCGATTTTTCTTGTTTTATAATAATGGAAAATGTACAGCCAATGGGGATAAAGACTTTTGGACTAGTTCCCTCTAAAATTGCTGCATATCTGCAATTAGAAAATCCTAAAACTTATAGCGGACATTGTTTCCGAAGAAGTTCTGCAACTCTGTTGGCTGGAGGAGGTGGAGATATAATTACCCTACAACGCCATGGCGGACGGCGCTCTTCAACCGTCGCAGAAGGGTATATTGAAGATTGCGTAAAAGAAGGCATCAAAATTGCCAGAAAAGTTTTTAAGGGCGCAATATCTGGATCCTCCACAAACAACGATGAAACCTCTGAAACTATTTAGCATTTGAATGTGGTTGGACCCTCTGCAAGTGATCCAGGCCCTGCATCATTTTCACTTTCACATCAAAAGAAGTGACTGTAGTAATTTCTTGAATATTAATTGCATTTCTTATCACTTAGATTCTACAGATTTATATTGAATGTTTGATGCTAATAAACGAGTATTATTATTGGCATTTTTAATTTTGTGTTTTAAATTAAGGTAAACGCACCTTAAGTCGTTGTTTATTGTTGAGGATGTATGTATTAAAAAGATGATTTAAAATGCGACCAACAAAAAAAGTTATTATAAGCATGGTAAATTTTTGATCAAAATGTATTTGCTCATCCCCCCTAAAAAATTAATTAATTTGCTGAATAAATCCTATCTTACATGTGCAAAGTATGATTTTTCACTGCATTAATATTTTTTAGCAGTGGCGGCTCGTCAGATGAGGCAAGTGAGGCGGCGCCTCACAGCATATATCTTAAGAACAGATTGACTTAATTTGTAATTAAAAAGGAGCTTTCAATGCATTTTTAGTTACAAAAATATGTTGAAATGGCAAATCTGTAGATGATTTTTTATTTTTTAGGCTTTCTGCTGACATTTTCCGTTGAATACCGTACGATTTATGTCCCTAGTTCTTTAACTGAAGCGGTCAGAACGTCGGTTCACTTGAACCAACGAAACCCAATCGCAGACACGGATTTCCATGGCTCAGCTCCTATACTCCTATTGACTCCTATATATGCGTTCGCTCGGAACTGAGGCGATATCTTCGGTGCTTCTCGGCCATTTTCGGCGTACTCATTAAACCATTTTCTCATTTATTTTACGGAACGGAAGGGCTGCGGGGTGCGTGGGTAATTAGCATGAACGTGAATAAAAACCCACGTGTTGATGTTTCGTGTTTTTGTCTCTTTCCTAGGTACAAGTGAGTGAAAAATGAATCCCGAGTACCATATCGTCATGTTCCTTCTTGAAACGCCGTTTTCACGGCGAACCGAGTTAGAACGTTGGCAAATTTTGCTAAATATCGAGCAGTCAAAACTGTTAATTCAATTAACTTCCATTGATAAGCGACAGAATCGTCAGTACTCCAAGTCTTTTAAATCAACGTGGAACGAAACATATAAATGGCTCTACCGTAATATTTGTACGACGTCCCGGGATATAATAATAATAATTTATATTTATTTCCCACGGGTAACGATTTAACTAATTTCTTCCGAAGTGCAAAGTGACATAAAAGTTCCAAAGTACACATTAAAATTTTCATGGGCCTAAAACGTTTAGAAAGGAACACAACAACTATTCCCGAATCCCTCTAAGAAAGTGCTAGTTTAAACAAAATTTTGACTTGTGAAAACATTGTCTTATGGGTGTTATTATTAATATTATTATTATGACCTACCACTGACCCGAAAATGACCGGTATTCGGGCAAGACTTCTACCATTACTAACTATTAAGACCAAGTAATATGCATTAATCACATTAATTTAATTAATTTGATTATTAATATTATTATTAATGTTATTATTGTCAAACTTCTATCATCGCCTCACCATATCAGACAGTCACGAGCCGCCACTGTTTTTTAGATTTGCTTATATGGGGTGTCTGAAAAAAACTTAATGGCTGAGTCAATTTACGTTATTGATTAAAGCAAGAAAAAACTCAACTCGATTTTGTTCAGGAGCGAGGTAAGTTCTGTCGAAACAATTACTTAGACAGGGTGGCCTAATGAGTGAGTCGGTTTATGTTATTGATGAAATAAAGAATGGTTCATTCCGTTTTCTCAAGTTCAAAAAAACAATACTGTTTGTGTTAATATTTTTTGTATTATACTTAACCTAGCCAAATTGATATACATGTAATAATGTTGATGACGTCATCACAGAATTTTAGAAAAGAAAACTCATTTGAAATGTACAAGCAGCACGCTACTTTACATTTACTGTAACATTACATACGTGTCTTATGCAGATTTTCATAAAAAGGATAAAATACAACTTTTTCGACCAATTTTTATTAAGGATATTTTCGATCTAAGTGTACCTTCAAGCTATTTTTTGTAACGATTTCAAAATTTTCGTGATAAGCTCGATATTACCTTTCGGAATGATCGATTTATATATTAATTCTCTTAAGTAGCTAGATATAGCTTTTTGTGTTTATGTATATTATTGTTAATCACATAGAATGGTCATTTTAAAATTGTTCAAATCTCTATGTACGGACTGACTTGTCCACAAGACAGTAAAGACGTCATATTTTCCAAATGAAGCGTTCTATTTGGGTGTGATCCCAATCACATTTTGTCGCTGGTCTGATCCCA